TGGGGGGGGGGGGGGGGGAAGGGGTATTTCCAGGTCGTGTCCAGGATTCAGAGTAGTTGCTTTGTAACCCAGAAATAGGACTCGGTGGGGCGGAGAGGGGTGGGGGGTTCCCCTTTCCGAGGCACACCGGGACCTTCGTCGGGCAGAAGACACGGCTCGGAGCCAACAAGCGCAGGAGTTGGCCCAACTCAGAGAAGCCACTTTCTTTCCGATGGCTGCCGTGGCGGGCGTTGGGGCAGCGGGGGCGTAGGTCGAAGGCCGGAAGGACAGAGTGTGGACAGGCCGCCCGGAATGGGCAAATTAATCGTGTCGTCCCCGTCCCCCCCCCCCCCCACGCGCTCGCTGGGGACGCGGAGCTGTAGGGGAGGGTGGTTGGTCTGGCTTTGGAGAAGCCGAGTGGTGGCGGCGGCGGCGGCGGGCATCAGCCGGAGGAATCCAGGTCTCTTGGCTTCTGACTCAGCCGTTCCCGGGGCAGAGGGTGAACCGAGGGCCAGAAGGCGCAACTGGTGCTAGGCGTGCTGGAGGACGGAGGGGTCGGGCTAGCCCCAGCCCGAGTCCAGGCGCTGGAAAGGGCGCTGCGGGGGGAGAAGGCGCGCGTCCCCTGGCCAGAGAGCAGACTGCCAGACGTGACATGGACCCCGGGGGGCTTGAGCCTTGCCCAGGAGGAGTCCCCCAGAATCGCTCGCCAGCTCCGCTCCTCAGATCTCAAACGCAGATCCGGACATTAAGTGCTGGGGTGTGTGTGTGTGTGGACTACGAGGTCTCAGTCTCCCAGCGCCTTGGCCGCACTTCCCGAGCCTGACCCTGCGGAGTGGGCAGCGCGTCCTGTTGTGATACACTCTTTGTGCCGATCCTGTGGCCAGGCCGCCTTGCCGTACGTAGTCCTGCTGTGGGGCAGCTGGTACGGGGCGCCGGGCAGGACTGGCTTGGGTTCCGGAGCCGACCAGCGGGAGCCGCCAGGAACGCTCTGGAAAGTTTTGAGAACTTCGCGCTTCTGTGTCAGCCTGGTTGACGGCTCTGCCGGTCGCGCTTGCGGGGGGGGGGGACACCACCCCCCCCCCCCCCCCCGTCTATCTCCCAGAGAGAGGTTGACTTTAAAGGGGGGGGTCGTCGAGGGACAAGGAAGCCGGAGGGCTTGTTCCAGCGGTCTGGCCCGCTTCTGAATGCGGGCTTGTTCCCTGCTGGTGGGTCTCTCCACTCTTGTCTGTAGCGGTCAAAGCAGACTGCGGAGAAAAGGGGGAGAAGGAGATTACGTCTGCGCCATGGCCCATACCCTTTCCGCATGTCCGAGGTGGTTTCGGTCGTGGCGGAAGGGGGACTCTTGTTCTTCCCTGGAGAATCGGAAGAGAAATCCCGAGCCTGCGGATTTAGGATCCGCTTTAGCAAACCAAATAATGAGGACAGGCGCTCGGTTTTCAACTGGCTCCCGGATGCTATTCAGCGCCCCCCCCCCCCACTGGCTCCCCTGTGAGCGCACTTTAGGACTGCACAGACTCCCAGTTACAACTATTGAACCTCGAGAGTCCTTCTTCACACCAGGGCCCGGAAGTTAATAGGTTTTCGACGGTAAGTCTATCAGCTGCTCCCGACACAGGCATGGCGCCCCTACATGCGTCGTGGGGCCGGTAACAAGAGTCCGTGGGACTCGCCTCTCCGCTTGGGTGCTGGAGGGGCCCGAGGAGTGGTGTCCAGCGCGGGCAGGCTCGCTTGATCGCAGCAGAGGTGGATCCGGAAGCACGCTTACAAACGCAGTCCTAAGCAGAGTGAAAACCCTTCCGAGCCGTGGCTTCAATGGGCCTAGACGGGAGCTCCTCTGATCAGGATCGCCCGGCAATGCTCTCGGCCCAGATCGCGGTTTACCGCAGTTTAAGCAGAACCTGGAGTGGATCGGGAGGGGGGTTTCGTTTTCCCAACCGAGAGCCGGAGAGGCTGCGAGGAGGGAGGGGAGACACGGGGAACTTCCGAGAAACTCTTTGCCTGCGTCGAGGCTCCAAGATGCAGCCTGTCAGAAATGCCCGCGCCTCGTCCCGGATCAGGGCAGGTCCAGGCAGAGCCGGGGAAGCCCTCTGGGCCTTCGTGGTCCCCTCGTCAAGGTTTTTATTCCTCGTGGGACTGAACTGGGGGGAGCGGACTTTGCACGTCCAACAGGCAGAGCAAGCCCCAGCTCCGTCAATTCATCCAGCGCAGAACTAGCTGAAAGAACAGAGCCATGTGTAGGCTGCATACGGCTGGGGTCCTGCGGAGAGAGACCGAGTGGCAGAGAAAGTTTTCGAGTTAGGGAGCTGGAAGAGTGCGGCGGAATTTTCTGAAAGAGTGCGAAGGAATTTTCTGGAAGAATGGGAAGGAATCCTTCCTCCTGCGCCTTTCCTAGCATTTGGG